CAAAATTTAGATTCATGACTTTATACCTGAAAAACGAATGCCATATCAACCTCAGCTGTGTTTTAAGTTTAGTGCTAATTAGCTAATCTTACCATGCCAACACGCTTCACTGTGGAGAACCCAGTAACACATTATACCTGCTAAACATCAGCATGTTAGCATTGTCATTAGCGCAGACATTGTGAGCATTGTTGGCATGCTGTAAGCACTAAGCTCAAAGCACTACTGAGTACAGCCTCACTGAGCTGCGAGCATCCGCTAACAGACCCTTAAAGTCCACGTCTCAAGCCTCGAAGGAATCTCCCGAAACAAAGTTTGATGTCAGATAATCCACCCAAATGCAATCAAATGCTGCAATTAGTAAATAGACAACCTTACATTTGTACTGATAAGTTGAAGGTAGCACAATATTTCCTTGATGAATAACGGTGACGCCTAAATGATGCCACACCCACCTGGGGGAGGCTTCATTACTAATGCATTAGCCATTTAGTGTGTGCTGAACCAGTCAAGAGGGATGATTGCACCCATTCAATCAGCTCTGAAATGACAGCTGAAAAGCAGTAGGCACTGATTAGACCGCTGCTGAGAAAGAGTGCATGTTCTTACTCTCTAACTCCTCAAAGGTAAAGACTTTATTATGCATAAGTAATGACATCCTGTACGGTCAAAGGTTTGTGATGTAGTGTTACTGTAAAGAGAAGATAGAGTCTGTTATCTTTTAACAGAGGCCTTTACAGCAAGTGACAAAGTGTTTTTGAGGGAAGCCAAAAGAGCAATGAATAATCATATTTCCACTTACCCACGTTTTTAATTATACTCTCTCAAAGGGTTGGGAAGTGACTGTATGGGTATCTAAATGGACCCAGTATTTCTGAGTGCAAATGCACATAGGCTGCTAATGGCTGTGTTATTTCCCGCCTGTCTTCAGACATAATGGCCAAGCTCTTACACAAGACATCCCTCCCATCTGAGAGGCATGTCATCCACCAGTAACTCGAATTGACTAAATGGTAGTAAAGAGCTTCAAGAGAGGCCGTCCAGAAAACACTGAACGTTTCCTAAACTTTCCTGCTGTTTAGTGGACTCCAGACTCAAAACAGAGATATGCAGCCACAGTTGAAATGTCACCCAAACATTATCAGTCAGCGAGTTACTTGTCACTCTGACTGATGATATTGTTTGTAAGTTTGTTCAGGATACATAAAGGTTTCTCGGAAAAGCACCCCGTTATTGTCGAACTGTTTACAGACGCAATCCACTGGGAGATATCTGCGTAAGAGGGGTCGGCTTCTCAGAGGCAGCAGATTTTTTCCGTCAGCTGGCACGAATCCAATCAGCTGGGTCACTTGGTGAAGGTTGAATGTTGTGACTTCCAGAGCAGGAACACGACCCAAAACGTTCAACAATCAGGACACTTGAGAGGTAAAAGATGGATTGCACATGGGTAAGAGTTTTATTTTGCTCATATGTTTCTGTTATGTGAAATACCAATGTATGTTATTCTTATTTTATATATAGATTGTCATTTCATAAATACGCAACACAAAATGTGTCAAACATATAGTTCATCTGATATTGAATGTTAAAATCTAAAGTATATTCGGACATAATGTGTGTAAATCTCAGGAGGAAATGCTCAGTTGTTTCCAATTCAAAGTTATTTTATAATGTTAATATTAATTCTGGTTTTACAGCATTTACACATTTTTTGGGGGGGAAATAAAAAATATGAAGGCTCAATGAACTAAATGACTTGTTAAAGAAACATTTTGGTAAAATGTGTTTATTTACTTTCTGGCCAAGAGTTATTTATAAAAGCCGATCAATACCACTCTCGTGTCTGTGCGGTAAATATACCTTTAACACTCATTCATTTACACCTTATATCTTAATTAACTTCTCATATTTTCCTCCCTCGGTCAAGGCCAATTGAGCTTATGATGGAGCGACTCTGCTGCCTGGCCTTTCCATTGGCTTCTCAGCTGCACCTCGTTCACTCATTAAGATGTGGATGCACAACATGTGAGTCTGATGGAAAAAGAAAACAGCCAGGCATTCATATTCAGTCCTTAAAGCAAAAAAACAACACGTAAAAACATGCCTAGTTAGAATCATATTCAGCAGCTATAACTACTATATTTGTGACTGACTCAGCTGTTTCCCATGTGCTGATGACAGCTCCCCTTGGTCAATGCTGACAGCACACATACATACACACACACACACACACACACTTGGGCACAGGAGAGCCGGGAGTGTTGTCCATTAGTGGGCCGCAAGAGACTGGCCTTGTGCTGAACACATAATGCTTCTGCGGCGAGAGGAAACTCCCTTTAGGACAGTTGACTGAGAAACAATTCTCCTGCTCTTCACAGATCATTGCGTCTCCATCCACGCTCACAGATTGGTTTCACTTATTATTTGGGGTTTTGTTGTTATGGTCAGTGGGCTTTACACCTTAGGTAGGTCATGATCACGAGGCACTCGGGCAGAACAGCAGCTGTGGAAAATGTTGATATTTGGTGCCCACCGAGAACATTTTGGTTCTTGTTTAAGGATACTTATAATGTATTGCTTATGATTTTTTTTACCATCATTTCAAATGGTTATGATGACATAGTTTGCTGTTTGCATGCACGGCAGGTCAAAGTTGAACATGGAAGGTTTTAACTGTGATGGATTTTATTTTTTATTTTTATGGAAAGCTTAAATGATAATTTTACTGTTTGTCTTTGTATTCTCTGTATAATCATCTGACTCACGATTCTAACTCGGACAGTGGAGAGAAGAAAGTTGGAAGAAAACCAAACAAAAAGCCCCAAACCTCAATCTGCATAGCAATCACATTGTGTCATCTGTCCCTAAGAGACTGGTGGATCTGGACTTACAAAAGCCCTTTAATACTATAAAACAGGGTCAGCATTGCTCAGGATTCAGACATGTCATCTGCGTGGCTTTACCGTGGCTGAATTGGGATTTTAGAAGCTGCTGAGTCCTGCTTCAAAAGATGAGAATAAAAGCCAATGTCTTATCCCTGTTTGAAAATATCTTCTCATTCATAATAAAAAACAAGGATATGTGGCAAACAACATGGACAGTTTTTTTTCAATTAAGTAAGTATCCCAATCTCACTTTGCACAAATGATTTGCAGGCCACAACAATTCAATAATGATACAAAATGAATATATTAGACAGAAGCTACTTATCTCTTATATATAGTGGAAATTCCACATCCTCATAAAGCGATAAATTAGTGAAAGTTTGTTATTCCCACAGCGTCGCACCAGTCAATGAGCTGGTGAAATGGCTCGGCCTCGGCTCAGCCTTTCTCCATGGAAACTGTGTTCAACATTGTCATGACAACCTTCAACCGAGGAGGAAAAAAATAAAACAAGGAATGAGGGGAAAAGTGAAAGGGGGTTCTCTCTCTCTCTCTCTCTCTCTCTCTCTCGCTCTCTCTCTCTCTCTCTCTCTCTCCCTCTCTCTCGACTTCCAACTCCCACTTCTCTTCTCCACAAGCTCACCTTGTTTCATGAATCGCAGCCTCGCAAATATGTCAATCTTCTCTCCTGAGCGGGAGATGCTGCTTAGTGGAGTTATTCAAGAGTGAAGTATCAGGTACTGGCATAATGGCTGCTTTGTGTTGATAGTCATCACAATAGGGCATTCAAACAAATCAAAGGATCCAGATGGTCAATCATCACCACTGAGCACAGAGGTGTTCCCCTCTGAAGACCAATAGTGTTGTATGTTATCGACAGTGTGTCTGCTGGAGTGGTGAGGTGGCCTCAGTTGTCGGGGATTGGGGATGCTGATGTAGATTTGATGGAAACACTGAAATAAAATCCAATTTAATTCATTATGCACAGGAAAAGTCACTCAATTTTTCAGTGGATTAAAGGGTTGGTACAAAAAAACATGTTTTCTCACTTTTACCTTTGGTGGTATCTAGCCATGCTAACTTTTTGGTTTTATTTGTATGCGTTTTAAAATATCCATCTCTTTCTCTAGCCCAAAGCAATAGAGTGGAATGGAATTGTGTTTGGGTGCCCACAGCATTGATAAATAACTTTGAATTACTTTATTTACAAGTTAATGGACATTAACCAACATTTCTGTAAATGTGGCAGTGTTCGTCAGTCGGATAATGTTCAACTGACGGCCTTTTGTTCTGTAACCAATAAAGTGACAGGTTACGAAATACAAACATAAAACAATAAGATGTCAAAATAAATACAAAAAAGCAACGTCAGAATGCAAAGGACACAAATTGCTTTGCATGCACAAATCATGCAGAGGAAAGCAAAACACTCACGCACCTGTACAATGGTAACTTCCACAATTCAGTACAGCAGCCATGTAAATGAGCAAAACCACATTTAAAAAATATATAAATAAAAGCTTCTACTTAAGTATAGTCCTCATGAAATCTGTCTGGTAGATTGTTTTGAGTAATGTGGACCCATACCTGGAATGTGAGCACTTTAATTTCCTTTTGCCTTTATTGTGTTAAGGTGAAAGCAGATATTTCAACCTAGAGAAAGAAATCCAAAACTGCCACCTCTGGAGGTGACTGAGAAAATTGGTCTGTGATTGAATGCATCTTGCTCATGAAATAAAGCCCTCAAGAAAAATCCACAAATGTTCAATGTTTCACGACATATAATCCACAACTTCAAGCAGATGCAAGACTTGAGACGTCGTCACACGTACAGACTCCAATAACCTTCCAATTTGTGCAGATGATCTGAATATTTATCTTAACATCTTCACATCCTTACTCAAGTTAACATCACTTCATATCAGTGGAGCCAAATACTGAGTTTGACAGAGAGCATCTTCTTGTCATCGCCCTCCTTGTATCTGACCAATTAGTATCTTAGTCCACATTTAGCTTTGTTAACAGACAGAATCTACTTTTGTACAGAGACGTGGTGTCTGCTTTCATATTCATGCAGCATTGATGGCTTAGACTCACTCGTGACATCTTGCCCCCCCCCCCCTCCCTCCCTGCATCGCCACAGAGCACTGCACAATACATCCCTAGACATCAAAACGTTCTTCATGGGCAACAACAGTCATGATGATCACGCTGAGCTGAGTATGTATGTGTGTGCATGAGAGAGAGAGAGCGAGAGAGAGAGAGAGAGAGAGAGAGAGAGAGAGTGAGAGTGAGTGGTGTTTCTTTGCCTGTGAAAGACAGAAGGAGGGGGAGACGGAAGCAGCCAAGCAGTAATTAGTGTTGCCTGTCATCCCAAATCTCCATGGTGACAGGTTCTGTATGCCATCTACACCTTTGGTACATAATCATGGAGGCGCAGGAGAGCAGGAGGCTGTGACTGCTGTTACACCAGACAAGCCACCAGGCCACCAGACTACACCACTATAAACAGCCGTACAGTAGGTGACACAGCAGCAGCAGAGAGATACACACCCCCACACTGTGCAGGTAATGGGGGACAAAAGGCAGATTCCATAACGCAAGATGTGAATGAAAATACAAATGTACAGAAATGACAAGATCTTATCTTCAACACCAGGGGGGTTGGGGGTGGATTTTATTTCTATTTCTGCATAGAAAACACATGCCTACATGATACAACATCACATGCACACACATCTGGCAGTTGGACTTGCATCACACCTATACAATCCATAATGGGGAGATATGAAACGGAGTGTGCTTCTCAATCACATTCGAGTTTACAACAGGGAAAACAGGAAATGAGGCGAAACAGGTTAATTATCAAAATAATAATGCTTCCTTATTGGCCAACGTCTATTTCATGGTGCATAAACGTGACATATAAAGAAGAGAAAAGAGTTGAAGGAATGATCCAGAATATTCGACATGTGCTACATACGTACAACTGTGCTTATATATAATTACAGACCTCTGGGTCATAGAAACGGAGCTGAAGATGAGCTCTAATGAAGATGAAATGAACTTTCCCTTTGTTTGTTAAACATAAGGCCACTATGGTAGACCATGAATATATTATAAGTCACAAGTGAAAGAAACCACACTCCTGCTGCTTCTTCCTCTGCTGAAACATGTAACAGGGTTTCTACAGATCCGACACAACCAGAAGTGTTAAGGTACAAATTACATTACTGCACACATTTAAGCTCCATTACTCAACATGAGCCACACATGGAACAGATGGCATTGCACTGTATATATTTTATTTTTATACTAATGATAGTACTAAAAATCTACAATGTAATCTAATAGAATCTACATTTGGTCCTGACTCAACCAGCAGTGATGCCTTCATTGTATACAGCTAATGTAACAGACAAACAATGCTGCTCAATTGATTGTTTTTCTTTTGTTAAACTCTTATTGTACAAGGATTTACAAACAATGTGTTGCCTGAGCAGCATTCATACCACTCTGGGGACAAGCTGTGTCCCTGTGGTCAGTGTTAAAGAGTAGTGGCACGACAGAAGGCAGAGACCGGATGACCAACGGAGAATTCTGGTTCTGTTTGGTTGAGGATCGAACAATGATTTCAAATTCTCATCTATTCCTAGTTCACAGTAACAGTTTTGCTGCACAAACACATATTCACAAGTGTTTGGGTGTTCTTACTAGACAGTTAACATTTATAGACGAAAGACATTAATCCGGTGCCGATTAAGTTTTATGTTGTTTATAGTTCAAAAACTGACACTTCTGTACATACTGTACTCCTAGAAAAGGTGAAAAATAAAGAAAATCACGCTAACAAATCTCATTAGCAAATGAGACTCACTCTAGATTAAAACCCATGAAAAGTCTTCCTCTACAACATTGACTATTCGTGACTAAATAAGCAATAGTCAAAGTTGACCAATAATATTAACTTAAGTTTATAATATTTATGAAAACTTTACGACTGAAAACTCTATTAATCTGCTTCATCAGCACTGTACGGGTGAGATTTGGTCAGATTTGATTGACAGTGACCAAACAACCCGCCAACTGTCATCTAATTCAAATGTTGCTAAATCCTGATTGGTGCACTGACATACATGGCATCATATTTTTCCAATTGGGCCCCGCCCACTTCAAGACTTCAGAAGTCTATGATGTTAAATAACCAAAATTATTCAAACGATGGCAGAAACTTGTGTGTTCATGTAGGACCCAACAAGAAGCTAATTCAGACTTTGAGACACATTGACGAAATGATAAACATATTAAATGGTAGCCACCACATTGTATCATGGTAGATCATGCAACACATGCAAAATGCTCTGTAACATGCAAATGAGTGTACATCTGGTAAATCTCCGATGCAACTGGTTTTCTACGACAGGGTTTTTGGATGTATGACAGAGACAAAAAAAATGAAATTAAAAGAAATCGTGTCTTGAATAAAGAGAATCCATTCCGCAGTTCATCCAGGACAAAAGAGGAGCTCAGCGCAGCATGTACTCCACCGAGAGCTCACGCTCTTTCTCCTTTTCGTAGCCAATCAGCATCAGGTCAACGTGGTGACCTCCGGCTGAGCGTAGTTTCCAGTGGCAGCGAGGATGTCTTTACAGGCCTCTGTTAAGAAACACAATGAAACACGCTGAATTAAGATTTGAGCATGAAAGACCTAGAAAAGGGACCTGGAGCATAATTTTGTCCTAGTGTAATAAAATATCTCTGCTGAACAAAAGCTGACCCTGTTCATGCTGGTAACCTGTCACTGTGAACTAATATTCTCATTATTAGTCAATCCTTTGTTTTTTGAAAACCCAAATCAATGCGCTTTATCTATAAAATGTCATAAAATAGTGAAAAATGTACACAACATGTTTCCTGAAGAGGACATCTTCAAAAAGCCAACAGTTCAAAACCCAAAGAAATTAAATTTACAATTATGAAAAGTCCTAAAATTTGAAAAGCAGAAACCTATAAATGTTTTACATTTCTGCTTGATAAATGACTTATCAATTGCTGTTTAAAGTTTCCTGTTTAAGGACTTTACCTTCACTCCACAGACAGAGAAATCCTACAGATCTGAACTTCAGAGGCCAGCAGGAGGCTTTTGCTAGGACCACCCATGTTGTTAATGGAAACTTACGAGGAGCAATCATCCAGTCACTCGGGAATATGGAGGCCCATCAGAGCTCAGGAGCCTTTTCTCTGCTTGTCTGAATATCCGCCTGCTGCTTCCTTTTAGCAGCACTTGAACGGTTTGCCACACCATTATGCACTCATCATAAGGAGACGAGCTGGTGGTTTTCACGTTGCTGAGGCAATGCACTTCCCAACAGGACAGTGTTTGCACGTATAAATTGTGACGGTGATTGCTGCAACAATGCCGCATGATTCCCTGTGACGGCCGTAATCTCTTCAAATTCACCAGCATTTTGTTCCCTCTACAAGACGGGAGACCATTTCCTGTCACTGATAACCATCTGAGCATCTTCAGATCTGCTGCATCCATCTGTCCTTCTCTCTGCTTCCTGCCATACTGCTCTGGTGAAATGTGATCCATACCTTGTATCCTGTAACCCTGGAATTAAGCTAACACCGTCCCTTATGGGCATCGCTCTGAAGAGCAGAGCCACTGTGTCATAATCCATCTCCATCCGACCAGCTCAAAATGGCTGCAATCACAAAAGGCAGCTTTTTGCATGTTGGACAGAAACAAGGAGTTTTTGATTTTGAACTCTGGCGCAACAGTTGTAACACTGTTGAACGTCTACTTGAGTCCTTTTTGCAGGTAATGTGCACTAAAATGTGTTGTGTGTGTGCGATATTCCCCTGTAATAGACCGGGATGTCATTATCCGCATACTCACCAGACACAGGGCTCAGGATTGAATTACCCCCTCCCCTCTCTCTCTCAAAGATTAGTTTTGAGGTGTTCTGGCTTTGCATAGCTTCCAATCGTTTTTGTCTGTCAGAAGAATGCTCGCTTGGCAATTTCATGAGCTGACCAGATACTTCAGGGTAATATTAGAGAAGTCAGCGTGAAAGCAGGCTGGTGATGATTTGTGTTTCTCTTTGTTTGTGTCTTTCCCATCATAACTCTAAACCTAAAGATTTTATATTGACTAATGATTTCCTCCCCTGAGCATCATAACATGTCGACGGACATCCCTTCTTCTCATTTATCAGAAATCTGATATAACAGGCGTTTTTTTTTTTTTCACGGTCATGTGACAACATACCATTAACCGACACCAATCTACAACACTCAACACATTCAGTGACTGACGAGGCTTTCAACACACATGTTCAAATACTATTTCCTTGTAATGGGTTGTCAAAAAAGGGGGAGGAGTATATTGTCTCATAGGAGCCAAGCTAAAGTAAGTGCCCCATTTATGTGTTGTTTTTTCCTCCACAGTGATGTGCTAATGACCTTTGGTAGAAAAATACATCTCAGTAAAGAGCATTTTTGCAGGAAAACACCTTCAGTGTCGTTGTGCTAATTGCGGACGAAAAGTCAGGATGTTGACTGGGTGGGATGTGTGCTCAGGATGTCAGGAATGAATCTATGACTGCCAAATATAGAGCCTCTTCTCACAAGGGGCTTTTGGGTACTTTGGGAAGCTCAGATGTGAGATCCGGCAGCCATTCAAGCAGAGAGAGACGGCAGGCTGACAGTGGATGTCAATTCATGTCAATTCACTTAAGGGAGCTTCACCTTTTTTTTTGTACACATGTTACCGGTTTCAGACAGCTCCTCTAATAGTCAAAATTAAAGAATATTGGTGTTATATAAGTAATCACCGAGAGTCGGAGGTCAAAGGTGTATGACTGCAATCTGAATGTCTACAAGATGACTGATTTGATTTAATCCAACTTGCATTACAAATGCTTGTACATGAACCTGAAAGCATATGCTTGAGCTTTTCTTAAATTTAGACACAACAGGTTGTTTGGTACCAAAGCGTAAAAGCTACAAATATGTAATTTTTGCACTTCGATATTTGTAATAATAAATAAAACAAGATATAACATGTTAAAAGGTGCAACATTTGAAATTCAGACCACATCTATTGCCTCCACACGGCTCTCAATGTGGCAAAGGCTGAACCCGTAGCACACAGCTAACGGTGCTACCAGCTCTAACAGCGCTAACTAGCAAAAGTGCTGACAGAGCTAACACTGTTTACCTGAAGGGGAATCAGAAGGTGGGTGCTACGCTTCCACCGTCTGTTGGGACGTCATTATCAGCTGTAACAGCCGTATGAGAGCAGTGCGGAGCGGTGGCCGTGAGCTAACCAGTGCGGCACGCTCACATGCACAAAAAGCTCGCGCAGCCGGCTTGGTTATGTCAATAAAGCAAGCAGAAGCTCGGATTACAACACACACACAGATGGAGAGCAACTTCATTCTCTGCTACAGTAGACATCACTCCACTTTATCTTCACATAGCAAATGGTTATTTGCTGCTATATTAATGCTTTGAATATTGCATAGACAACTTTTAATTCGTGAATTTTAGAGGAGCTGGTAGGCAGATTTATATTTATACCTTTGGACAGAGCCAGGTTAGCAGTTTGGAGAACAGACGTGAGAATGGTATCAATCTTCTCATATAACTTCACAAAAAAAGCAGATTTCCCAAAACGTTAATATCTCCCTTTAAGTACCTGTAATCTGTCAGGAACTTTACTAACTGACTAACAGGATGTTCTTGAATTCCCAGAGAGCACCAGTGGAGGAAACACAACTCACCTCATGACATACCAATCGAACCAAATTTGAATTTTTTCAGAGAAGTAAATTGAAACCACAGTACAGATAAAAAGCACAGTGTGCAACCGTACAAACGGTAAATATGTATATCCAGGTGTACACTGATAGGTATGTAACTTACCAGTATGGACGTTGGGGTCTCCAGGGGTTAGGAGGAAGCAGGTGGCCTCATTCTTAGTCTTGTCTCGCCCTCGAGAGCACCGCAGGGACCACTTTTCAGTGGGCGACAGCGGCTGGGTCAGGCTGCAGCCTTCCTCCTCTGAAAGGGCCACATTTGCATCACCGTTCTGTTTGGAGTCTGACAGGAAGACAAAAGCGCACAGAGACGTAAATGCCAAAGCTTTTACTGAGACTGCCCCGAGTGCCCAGACAAAGGCACAGGTATATTGCATAAAATCTGTATTTTTCTGTGATTCAATTCAATTTGTCGGAGATGTTATGAGGATTAATTTGATCGTGGTGTCTTACCGTCTATATGACTAAGCACATTACATCTGTCAGGCAAACTGTCAGGCTGCTATGTTATAATTAGCTCAAGACCTCTCAAATGTTTATCATCACAAACAAAATAATCTTCGAAATGAAAAACCTGATGAATAAATTCAATAAACAGTACAATCAGCTTAAAAGGGTCACTTCATCCAAATTACAAAGAAAATCTTTTTTTATTTACCTCTAGTGGTATTTAGTCATGCAGATACTTTTTGGTTTTATTTACCCCAATTTTTTGCCTTAATACCATTCAGGTGAATGCTAATTTGTTTGTGTTGTTAACAACACAGAAATATAAATAATAAATAGTAAATCAAAAACATGTCCAACATTTCTCTCCAGCAACAATGCCCCCAATCCTCTGGATAATCCAAAGAAAACACGGATAACAGTTTGAAAAGAGAATATTTTCATGGTAGAAAGTATCTAATGTTCAGTGAGGTCTATGGATTATTCTGAGTAACTAGGACAACGTTGACAGACATTACTGTTTAAATTAAAAGGTCATCTTTTAATGATGTGAGCACCACAAATATTTGTGTTGGCAAATCTTTTCATCAGAAAAGATGACACAAAAGACAAGCGAGAACATGTTTTTTTTTTGGGTGGATGAACCCTTTAACATTGCATTGCAGGCTGACCTGAGCGGTTCCTGCTGACGCTCTCCTCAGCAGCCAGCGGACACGTGTCGCTCTGAGTGCTGTCTCTGTGAGAGTTTGTTTCCGACTTCCCAAACGAGGCCGAGTCAGTCGGAGCGTCTGTGTTTGGCTTGTGCTTCTTCTTCTTCTTCGGCAGCTTCTGTTTGGCCATAGCCAGCGAGTAGTACATCCCAAAGTTATTGACGATGACGGGGACCGGCATGGCGATGGTCAACACCCCGGCCAGCGCGCACAGCGCCCCCACCATCATGCCTAGCCACGTCTGTGGGAACATGTCTCCATAGCCCAGCGTCGTCATCGTGACCACCGCCCACCAGAAACTGATGGGGATGTTCTTGAAGTGTGTGTGTTTGAAGTCTGTGGGGTCGTTGGGGTTGGCTCCGATGCGCTCAGCGTAGTATATCATGGTGGCGAAGATGAGCACACCCAGTGCCAAGAAGATGATGAGAAGGAGGAACTCATTGACACTGGCCCTCAGCGTGTGGCCCAGCACGCGGAGGCCTACGAAGTGCCGTGTCAGCTTGAAGATCCGGAGGATCCGAACAAACCGCACCACACGGAGGAAGCCCAGCACGTTGTTGGCAGCTTTGGATGACAGACCCTTCAGGCCCATCTCAAGGTAGAATGGCAGAATGGCCACAAAGTCAATGATGTTGAGCGTGTTCTTGATGAAGACCAACTTGCGTGGGCAGCAGATGATACGCACCAGGAACTCAAATGTGAACCAGACCACACAGATGCCCTCCACAACGGTGAGGATGGGCTTGGTAACCATCTCCAGCCTCTCCACTTTCCGTGTGACGTTGCCCACCACCACCAGCTCCGTATGGTTCTGCAGTTCATTGAAGGCTTCATGGGTCTCCATGCAGAAGGTGGTGATGGACACCAGGATGAAGAAGAGAGAGGCAAATGCCACTCCCTATAAAAGACAAGTAAAACAAATAATTAATACAATTTCATGCCTTACAACTAATTAATAGGCATGGATTTTTCTATCCTTGTGGAGTTATATTATAAGACTTATTTTTGTCAAACTTTACAGTATCACTGACAAAAAAGACATTGATGTGAAAGCAGCCTGTTTTGAGGGATTATTTTCTGGCGGAGGCAGTGAGTTTGAGATGATTGACAGTAAGCGAAGACTAAACACTGATATTAACACTTAAGTCAAGAACAGAAACATTATGATAAGACACAAGCGTTGACAATATCAAAGTGAGGATTCATTTTAATTGTGATGAATCATTCACTGTGAAGTTAGTTTTTCACTTAAAAGAACGACTGAAAAATAGCTTCATATGAAGTTTAGAAATTGAGCAGTGATATCTCTAACTATCCTCAATGTAATAAAATACAAATATACCATATTCAAATTATACAGAGGTGGAGGGCTACCCAGACTACTATGGAAAACCTTTACCCACCAGTATTCCCCAGATGGGAAAGAAAAACCTTAATCTGCCTAACATGTGTAGCTAAATGCTAATGTCAGCACGCTAGCATACTGATGTTTAGCAGTGTTTACAATGTTCACCATTTCAGCTTGTTAGCCTGCTAACATTTCCTAGTCAGCACGACACAGTAAGCACAGCTGAGCATGACAGGACTGTCATTAGTTTGGAAGGTATTTGCAAACCAAAGTGTTGGACGAATAAAAACATTGACATAATGATGCGCTCAATGAGAAATCAGGTGGCCATCAAAGTTACTACAATTGATACTGAGGAGGAAATTAATCTCTGAAACAAAGTCCATGGCAACCAATGAAATAGTTCAGTCTGGACCAATGAGCTGGTCGACTGACAATGATGTCATCCCTACTGTACCACTAGCGTGGCAAAAAAAATGAATAAATGAAGAGTTCACAATGAACACAAAGATACAAAAATGCACTGCAAATGTTTGTTTCCAGGAAACCAAAACAAATGAGTGTCATTGATAATTAAGATGATAAAAGGCAACCATAATACTGTCATTTTATAGCAACTATGCTGCCCAACTACCCCACCCCCTTCCAAAAAATAAAACCTCAAACAAAATCAACTTTCTTCCTGCTCCACTGCCACTACGCCTCTTCATGACATCCTATTACCTGCCAGGATTGAAATCATTCTTGTGATTGTTCGCTGCCACTCTAGTTCTGAGATTAGTGAGAGAATATCTTTTTTTCTTTTTTAAAGGACTTGGGAGCCAAGACAATTTTCTTTTGACCAAACGGACCAATTTCAAACTAATTACTGCCATGAACACAGAGCCTGAATCATGCTGAGGCGCTCACATGGTGCCAACGCTGACTTAACCATGTGAATTTTGATTCACATATATCACACATAAAATAGCCTTGAGGTTTGATTTTGTTCCGAAAAAGGAGGGTTTTGGTTCATCTGGTAACAGCTCGTGTCGTCTCGAACCACAAGTGGAGGAAAAGGAAGTGAAGGGATGAGCAGAGTTTGCCGACACAGAACGGCTTGGGAAAAGAGATTTTGGACAATCGGCCGAGTCATGAAAGAGTCACCTGTCCTGTTGACAGGTTTATGAGACACATTTCACCGAGTGAAACACTGCTATCAGTGTTCCCTCTGACAATTACACGATAAAAACACAAATGATCTCTCTTAAAAGTACAAATCCAAACAAAATGGCGAGCAAGTCAAACTGCTTTTAGAACTGATGGAAAGTAAATTGAACAATGCGACTGCATGGCATCCTCCTGATCCGGAACAATGGCCATGCCTGTCTGTGTTTGTGTTCATATGGTGTGCTAACTCATACTGATCTGTCTTCATTGTTTACTAAAGCCTTGACAAATTGCAATGCCTCTCCAACCTTTCTAATATTTCAGCTGGATAAATATGTACCTGTACCTTGAATGCACTCAGCTACCTTCTACCTCCAGGGGCCTCTTGTATAGCAACCTGCTTTATAGTGTTTGGGTCTGCGATTACAACAAACAAATAAAGCATGTGATGTCCAATGGAGATACTAACTCACTGTGGAACAAATAAAATCAATACGAATGGGACAGCTTATGGAGTTAACAAAATAGCAGCCCATGTTCAAAACAGCAATACCGCACACAGTATGGTACACGTCTGATCGTATCTCTATTGTCACACAGCTCTGATCCTCTTAAGATGATGAGGACTGAGCTGCAAGACAAGAGGGAAGGCTGTGAAGCCCCGACTCTGAAGAGTTCCCCCGGTCGCATAGATACAGGTTTCCCTGAGCATCACCAGGCCAACCAGTCACAGGGAATATCACAACAAGCAAACAGAAACACACGGCTGGATTAGTTACTTATTCAGTACTTATTCGTCGCTGAAGTTGAGGGTTGTAACCATGTAAAGGGATTTTGCTACTCTTCTCAACAAGTTTAAAACCAGTAAACAAAGTGTTTTTCTCCTCTGTTAGTCTCTTTCAATCAACATTAGTTAGTGGTGGAAGAAATACACAAGATACTTAAATAATACTGCAATGTAGAATACTCCATTACAAGTGAAAGTTTCCTCCTGGGCTTTGGTGGTGTAAAAGTATAAAGTAGCATATTTTTTATTTTGCAGATTTTCTATCAATTAAGAGTGCACAATTCCCTGAATGCACTGCGGTCCTCGTCAATGCTAGCTCTGTTGGGGATAGTGCAGGCAGACAGGTGCCCCCTCTGCAGCCACTTCCTTTCCCCTGCCAGCAACAAGCTACACCAAGCAACATGTGGGACCGTCATGATGTCCTCTAAGCTCCAGCTCCCACCCACCAAACATCCAGTAGGTTGAAGCCTGGACACGTTCACACTTGCAAACACAGAAGGGTTGTGTTTGTTGGAAAAACAAAAGCCTCAATAAATGTGTCCGTTGTGTTGTTTCTAAAAACTGTCCAGCTGTTTCATCAATCTCTGTATTCGTCTCAACAAGTGACAATTGTTTTTAATGGCTTTAAATAAAACATCTTGCAGCCAAACACATTTTCACACTTTTCTGGCTTTGACAAAAAAACCATCACACAAACAAATGCTCCTTCGGTATGACAATAAATCAGCAGCCACCTAAATAAACAGTGAGTCCAGTTGCTTGTGATGAGCCCAACAGGCCTCAACAGTGTTCAGTTTATTCAAATGCCAGACGGTTTATCCAAGAACTAAACAGAGCTGGATATTTGCATTTTTGCATTTCTGGCACTTCTGCAGGGAAGGGGCTGGAGATCCTGGCACACACAAGGACAATTTGCTCTGCTCATAAAAGGCTTATTAACAAGGAAGTCTTCACAATAACACCCCACAGCTTGACCTCACACCTGTGTTTGTGTAGGTGGGTGCCACTTCTTTTTCTGAAAGTATTTTGGGATATGTAGTGAAGCATCTCAACTTTTACTCACTAATAATTTGAATGCTGGACTGTCTCTCGTAATGTTTACACTACAGGCTTTCTACTTCTTAAACCTGCAGTTTAAAACCTGAGTGTACGTAGTGCCAATCACTGGTGGCAAGGAGACATTGAGCCAAGGTCATCAGGTGTCGGTGTGCAAAGAGAGCCGACGTTCCCCCCGAGGGGACAGCCGCCCGGTCCCAGATGGGAAGACCAGAGCGGGAGGGAGAGACGCAGGACAGGCAGCAGGCTGTGCGTCAGGGTGCAGCAGCTGGGGAGTCCCATCACGCCCATCACCTCCAGCTGTTCAGCATCACGCTCTGTTACCAACACGCTATACGCAAGAACCACAACAACGAGCCTTGTGAGCAGTCAGCAGCTGCAAAGCCCGTGAGAGCAGCCTCTTCTGATGTTTTCTTAGAATCCATGTCACACTGATTCAGGATCAGTCCACCTGAAGGTGGAGGACAATAAATGTGCACTACTGTCAGCTGGGCTTCTCCAGGATATCTGTGGAGAAGTTATTTATTGTCACACGTTTATATTTTCATGAAACCAGAAGCGGTAGGGATGATCTAAACTGCGATATAAAACAAGAAACAATATTGGAGGAGGTAGAACTCAATTCTAAGTTTTGACTCGTTTTGCCATTGAAGGGCTTTAAGTAATTTTCAGCTTTCATCAGCCTTCATTATCAATCAATAACCTGCAGCAGCGACATGGAAAATCCCAAAACCACCACCTACAACATAAAAGATCAGTGGTGAAAACATTCCTACACAGAGCTGAACATCTCAGGAGGAGGGTAGAGAGATGGGGTAACTCCAGGCCAACGGGTACAAGAAGTTGATGCTGAGAATCCTTACGACTAGGAGGGACACCACATCACCGGGGGGGAAAACCAGAAACATGCCATTGAGTCTCTTTTGTGTGGCTTTAATAGAACGTAATATTATACTAACACCTTAAGACCTCTGCTGGTACGCTCTCAACACAGGACTCCCCCTGAGAGGAAGACCAGAGTCGTGTTTGACATCACATCAAGGAAACAGAGAGGACCCTGGACAAGAGACAACATCAGCTGTCTGTGAACCCAAAACCACAGACTGAATACAGGGCAAAGGTCATCGACCATGAGTCAGTGGACGACAGGAGAAAGATCCACATCCAACATCGGAGACCATCATGGACAGAGGTTACGACCATCTGTGAGGATGCAACTTTAATTCCATACTTTATACAACAACTGAACCATCTCCATAACAACTGAGCATACGCTTGATGAATACTCATGTGAGATTTACTGTAATAAAGTTCTGGGAGAAAAAGCCAGAAAATACCAGTATTTCAACCAGTAAAAATACTGACTTATTTGTCATGTCGCTCCTTCTCAAACATACAATAATATAAAACACCGTCTACAATCCTTCTGAGGTTTGAAGCTGATAAAACAATATTTAATCTGGCCAATCTTCTACAAACTGTTGAATAAGTTTTTAACTGAAGGACCCACTCTTTGGTTTGGTTGATGTAAGATTACATTTTCAGTCATACGTATCTA